AGATAAGGAGAGCATTGAGAACGCTAAGAGACGGAAAGGCGGCGGGGATAGATGAGATACCAGCGGAAGTATGGAAGTATGGAGGGGAAGAACTGGAGGAATAGGTATGGGGATTTTGCAATAGGGTTGGAAAGGGGAGGGATGACCGGAAAATTGGAAAGAGGGGGTAATAGTGCTGATAGTGAAAAAGGGGGAAAGAGAAAAGGTGGAGGAATATAGGGGGGTCACGCTGATGCCGACATTGTACAAGGTGTATGTGATAGTGCTGGCGGAGAGAGTGAGAGAGATAGAGAATAGGGGAATAATGCCGCACAATCAGACCGGCTTCAGGAGAGGAATGGGGACGATCGACAATATATATGTGTTAAATTATCTGGTGAACAAGCAATTGGGAAGGAAGAAAGGAAGGATGGTGGCAATGTTTGTCGATTTGAAGGCGGCGTTTGACTCAGTGGAGAGGGGAGTTTTGGTGGAGGCGATGAGGGAACGTGGAATAAGAGAGGGATTGATAGTGAGAGTGGAGGAGATTATGAGGGAAACGAGGAGCAGGGTAAGGGTAGGAGGGAAAATGGGAGAGGCTTTCTGGACGGCAAGGGGGTGAGACAGGGGTGCCCACTTAGCCCGCTGCTTTTTAATGTGATAACGGCGGATATGGAGGAGGAGATGGGAAAGATTAGATGGGGAGGGGTGAGGCTGGGAGAAGGGAGAGTACATATCTTGGTTTACGCGGACGACATAATCATGATGGCGAAGAATGAGGAGGAGATGGGGAGTATGATAGAAAGGTTGAAGGGGTACTTGGGGAAAAAGAGACTGGAGTTGAATTTAAGTAAGACAAAGATTCTGAGATTTAGGAAAGGGGGAGGGAGGATGGGGAAGAAAGTTTGGAGGTGAAGAGGGAAGGTGATAGAAAAGGTAAAGGAATTCAGATATTTAGGATACACACTGAAGAGGAACGGAAAGCAAAAAGAACATGTAAGAGAAGAAGTAAAAAAGCAGCGGCCATAATGGGGCAGGTGTGAAGGATTGGTAAGAGAAAGTTCGGAAAAGATTGGGGGAGAAGAATGTGGCTCTTCGACAGATTGGTTTGGACGGTGATGGGATACGGAGCGGAAATATGGGGTGGAAAGAAAGAGAAAAGATGGAGAAATTGGAGGAAAGATATATGAAGTGGGTGCTGGGAGTAGACGGAAGAACGCCGGAGTATGTGATAAGGGAGGAGTTGAAGAGGGAAAAATTGAGAGGGAGGGCAGGGAAAAGGGCGTGGGATTTTGAGAGAAGAAAAAGGGACTGGAAAAAGAGACTGGAAAAGGGGAAGAAAAGTGCGTTGGCAAAAAGGTGCTGGGGGGAGATGATGGAAAGAGTAGGAAAGGGAAAGGCAAAGTCAGAGTGGGAGGGAGAGAGGAGGAAGTTCTTCGAAGAGAAGGGAATAGAGTCGGAAGAGGCGAAAGAGAGGAGGGAAAAAGGGGATTTAGAGTACGGGAAGATTAGAAAAAAGGACAGGGAGATGCAGGAGAAAGAAAGAGAAGAAAAGATAAGAGGGTCAAGGTACAATAGATGGTATGGAAAAATAAAAAGGAAGAGGGTGCCGGGCTATCTTAAAAAAGGGGATGGGGAAAGAGTAGATGGAGGACGGTGG